GAATAGTCGTCTGCTCTTCATGCATGTTGTAATGTAGAATATTCGTGACGCGCTCGCTGCCGATTGGGGCTCTCAAATGTGTGCTTGGGTGAGTGCCGGATGCGCTCGCTCTGCGGATTTGTTCAGATGAGATTCTATTAAGAAAGCGAGGCGTCCTCAGATGGAAACGAACATTATCAGTTTTCGGTTCGGAAAAGGTTGGTAATAGAGAGGCAAGACTTACCACGGAAATCAGACGTGACCTGCCAGTCAGATCAAAGAAGCGGCAAGGAGGCGCTTAAGAGATTAGCTATTCGTGTCAGGCGATAGAAAGTCCATCAAGGGGGTCAATCACGGGACCTCCATTTGCAATGACGGCGTGGCCAAAATGCGGGAAGGCCTTAAGGTATGGAGATGGACTTGCTCAGGAGACGGAATCGAGTGGAGAAGTGCAACCTTTCGATCGTGGGCACTGAAGTCTGAGAACGAGCTCGAGTCTCGAGTCGAATTAGCTTGCTCTGAGAATGTTTGAAATGTTGTCGAGCGTCGATAGGAGGTGATTATCTAAACCCAGGTTCCAGCGTGGACGGGAGTTGGGACTGTTGGTGGTGGGCGGTAGCACTGGACGTGACGCTCCCGTGTCGTGAGGGTAGTCATGGACAAAGAGGTTTGATCAACGTCGTGACAGTGACGGAGACAAGACCATTCCGATTACGCAGTCGTCGAAGAAGGCAGCCGAGAGATGGTTTGGAAGCTAGTCAGATGGAGATAGAGGTATAGGAGTTCAAAATTATGTAGGAAGGAATGGCTGGAGAAGACACATGTCCCGCAAATGATGCTCTCCGTGAAGAAAATAGAGGAGAGTATGAATTTTTGCTATCGAAGACGGGACATCTCTCGACTACTCCCACTTAGGCCTTCACAGAAATTGGCTTTCTAGCTAAGATCTATCCCTCTTTGCCCTGACAGCAAAACGTTACGATTGTTGCCAACCATAATCTCGGTGGAGGCAATCATCTTCAGAACTCAAGTTCCGCCACAGCGACAGTGACAAAGCAAGACACCGAGCACGATCATTGTAGTGAGATAATGCTGCAGCTTGGCATTTCCCAAGCGCCGAGAGTAATGGCCCAGAAGATAGGGGCGGAGCGACACAGCCTGTTCAGGGGCTCAGACGTCTAGACTAGATGGATCAGCAAACGGACGATCATCATAGAAGCGTCGGGTCTCTACGAGAAAGTCGGATCAGGGCGCCATTGAAATGTTGTTGCCCGGTAGTATAGATGACGACGACACGACGACGACGTGGTCTTCACAGGTTGCAATCATGGGTTCGGCGCATCGCCACGGAGCAGATCAGTGACTCGTCCCTAGTGAGGCATATTCTTCAATTGTTTACTCTCATCATCCGTGCCGTGATAGCTCCTTCGACCTATTTCTTCCGGTGCCCAATAGCGCCTATGGCGAACTGATAACGGTGATCTAATCTAACCCCCTAGAAGCATCGCGTGGCTATGCAACCTCTATTGGCCCGAGATGCTAAGTTCGACTGGTTTGCCAATGATTCTTTGACAGTCAAAGTCCGTGGTTCTTGATGACATGCATAGCAGGTCACGATGTTCGACGACGCGTAATTTCAATACTGTCAATTGGTGTTTGGATCTGGCATCTTGCTCTTTAAAGCTCGATGCAAGCGCCTGTGGGCATATCACGAGTGGAGAGTTGCATTCGGGTTCTTGAGGCCGCATGTCAGATCCCTGGACTTTTACGCCCGGCTACAGTGGGATTTTTAGCTGTGCCGCATGGCCAGCGGCCCGTACACGGTAGGCCACAGAGCGGTCTAGAAGGGAACACCTACTGGAATGGCGCAACACGGCTCCATATCCGAGCTTAACGAGATTTATCACGCTATGAGACCCCCCGCATGATGCTTCCTGGTCGTGGGAGAGCTCTGGGATTGGACCCCATGCGAGCCGATAAGCTTAACAGCCGATTTCTTAGCATCTGGGTCAAGCCTGACGTTGCACTGTTGCATTAGAAGCCTGGCGAAAAGCCTATTGATCCAAGACAATTCCAGCACAATCTTGTGGCTTAGAAGCCTTTTTCAGCATGTTGTCAGCAGTAGATGCGATCCCAGGAAGGCAGTTGGCGAAGGATTACGGTGCAATTCGACTTCAGCCCCTGGGGGCCAAGAAATTGGCTCCTAGGCGATCCTACAGAGGATAGTATCGCACTGGCGGAAGCGATTCCCACAGTCTGAAAGAACTCGGGCTAATGTTAATGTTTTCGGCCGCTGGTGGTGGCGGAGCCGAGCACCCGCTCACCATGATCTAACGAGTGTGGTGGAATCTTTCATTTTTGATAGATAGCGTACAAAGGCCCTTCGAGGCTGACAGCCAATACCCCTGGAGTAGGCCAATATTCCAAATAATGACGGCCTGAGGATTGTTCGTATTAGGCCTGAATGCTCTGATGCTGGGTTATCACTGACGACGTCGAATTACCCAATTGGTGACCTCGAAGCCCGCTTCGGTTGAGGCAGTGAATTGTCGCTCGTTACCTTCTGAAGATGGAAGGATTCTGGAAAGGTTCTGCGCGTGGCAGTTTTCTGGATGGGGTGTCTTTGCCACTGCACAAGGCGGGTGGATGTTCCGAGAGGTTATTATGCTGATCTCGGGTCATGTGCCGTGGGAGAGATACCGTCGCCGTCGCCGGAGGAGCAATGGACGACGTCACTTCAAGACTAGGGAAGCTAGGTAGCTTCACCGTCGCTGCAGGCCGTTCGTGTTGCCGGGAGAGGTTGAAGTGACGGGCTTGGCATGGGTTGGGGCTGTGCTGGGGGTTTAAGTTAGGCTAACCTGCCAGTACGGAAGCGCTCACTTGTGACTGGTCGCATCACAAGTAGGGCGTATCGGACACCCTTTTGGACGAAAGGTGATGTCGCAGAGCGAGATGCATTCTCTGTCCCCGATCTGGATGCACCCCGTGGTTCGTGGAACGATAGACTGTAGCATGTATTGAATGGACTCGCGGCCTGCATGAAGCTAGAGTCTCTATGGTCAAATGAGCAGATACGATTGTAATTCCCGGGGCACCCATATCTCGCCCTCTCTGAGGGTGTAAGAAGGTAGCAGAAATCATCAGGCAATTGATGACGGATGGTGCACCGTACCTGCTCCTGAGGACAATAGCCGCGGCACGAATATCAATTGCCTCACTGACACGGTGTTAAGCGAAGTCCTGTTGCGTCTACCAATGCTGGGTAGATAGGTATCACGGGCAGGCAGAAGGAAGAGACTGGCCACATCTCTTTGTGCAACAATATGGGACCGGCACGCTGAAGTTGGTCAAGAATGCCAACCAATCCTCCTCGGCGCTCGCTCTTCGCACAGATATCACACAGATCATAGCGTGGGAGGCAGGGGCTTCTCCATGAAGCCAAGTCTTGCGTCTCAGCACCCCCTCTTCTGTTTCAACGGCACCCCCTCCTGGACGCCATCGAGCCCCTTCGAAGCTCTCGATAGGTGTCGCGGAGTTCGGCACAGTGGTGATTGGGCTGCTGGAGCTCATTGGAGGGCCAAGCTAGGACAAGACCCCAGGAGCGCCGGCTGCAACTTGGTGCCCGCTTTGGGGAGCCCCAAGAAGATTGGGCCAAGCGGGTGGCGTGGCTCCAACAGTCATGACACACCACAACGCACAGAAGAAACAGTAGCACAGAGCAGTGACCACCCATCGAGCGAGCGTCCGCTCGGCACTGAGAATTCCGTGAGCTCCATGGTGATCGCCCAGCAGCTTAGCGCTTCTTTTTGGCTTTCCTAGGCACCCGACTCTTTTCGGGGGCAGTTCGATGACTGTTGGCGGGCTGGCCGTCAGTTAGTGAGCCTTTGGATGAACCGTGCCTCTGGCGAATTGGGGCTATGGGGGACACATCAAACATCGCCCGCTTATGGTGGAAGGCGAGGTATCGTGGAGCCTGAATGAAAGGAGCAAGGTAAGCAGGAAGGCAGAATTCGCGCAGTGAAAGAACAAGCAGTGATTTGCGAAGGCTGTGATGAACATCATTAGACGGGCAGATTGATGGCGCCGTGCCACCAGGATGCGGGAACCGGTTGTCGTCATGGGTGCCCTTTTCCTCCGTATCGTTTCGTATCTGCGTCTAAACAGTAAAAGTAAAATGGAGCTCGGTACCTAAAGTAGTGAATGTACTGTGAGTCTGAGTTTGGAGAGCTTACTGTATAGTAGGTGTCGTGCATATCCTCACACACCACTCCAGACCAGGGAGAACGCAGCATCAGGAGTAGGTAGGTATTAGGAGTAAAAACTGCCTACTCTCAATGAATCGAGGTATCATCACTGATCGTGTTCGATTTGGTGAAAGTATCTTTGCTAGCGTTTCCACAGCCTTCGCTTGGCGTTACTAACAAGAGAGGGAGATCATTTACTTGAGGTAGAACACTAGAAGCCATCATCGTCCTCACGCGATCAGCTCACGCCTCTTTTTTGGGCTGTGCCGGTGCTACCTTCCTTCGCACTTCCCTTTCTAGTGTAAGATGGAGGGACAGTACCTTCCTACCCCACAGCAACGGGCCCTCGAATCAGGTGTTAGTGTTTCTTGGGGGAAGCTGCAACCCAACCTTGGGACCCTTGCCAACCCTAGCCCGCACCTGCCTTCTCTATCCACTAGGCTTACCTCCCCACCCATGGGTCCCCCATTCCACAGACACTGCCCTCCTGGGCGCAGGTACTTACTGTAGTGTGGTGTACTTTGGTCACTGTGAAGCAACTGACTGATTGACACGCCAAAATCATAAATACTCGCTGAGAGCCACCACCCCGTTTCAAGTGTTTCCGATCTCTTCTTGCCAGGCCATCCAATACAATCCACACTTCAATCGCTCTGCGCTTATTCCTTTGGTCGATCTTACACTACTTTAAAGCTTCCCCCTCGTCCTCATCTCTGCTTCCCTGTCCAGTGTCGCATTCACGAACGCATCTTCACCACCACCGCATAAACAACCGAGATGGACGCTCCACGCAGCACCGGAGGCTCCTCCAAGGACCCCGAGGTCAACGGCCACGGTCCTAGCGCAGCTGGCTTCCGTGCTCAGGCCAACATGACCACCGTCGTTCAGCCTCCTCGCGAGGAGGACCTGCAAAGGAGCTATGCTAGCATCGTCGGCAATGATGCGAACCCCAAGGGCTGGTACGGCAGCATGCGTATGTGGATCCGTCCCCCAGTAGCTTAAAGAAATGCATATTGATCGTGAACTACTTCAGTCAACGGCCTCGGCGCTATTATTGGAACCATGGGAGCCGTTCCTTGCTGTGTCTGCTGCCCCAACCCATTCAAGAATGTCAACCAGGGTAACGTTGGTCTGGTGACCAAATTTGGAAAGTTCTACAAGGCAGTCGACCCTGGCCTGGTCAAAGTCAATCCTCTCAGCGAGCGCCTGATCCAGGTCGATGTCAAGATTCAGATTGTCGGTAAGTAGCACAGCAGCACGCGCAAACCGAAAAATGAACAATCGCTAAAAGATTCGCATTACAGAGGTTCCCAAGCAAGTCTGCATGACAAAGGACAACGTTACAGTTAACCTCACCTCAGTTATTTACTACCACATCATCAGCCCCCATAAGGCTGCTTTCGGTATTACAAACGTGCGACAGGCCCTGATTGAGCGTACCCAGACGACACTACGACATGTTGTCGGTGCCCGCATCCTCCAGGACGTCATTGAGCGTCGTGAGGAGATTGCCCAGTCCATTGGTGAAATCATTGAGGATGTTGCCACAGGCTGGGGTGTCCAGGTCGAGAGCATGCTCATCAAGGATATTGTTTTCAGCCAGGAGCTCCAGGAGTCTCTGTCCATGGCCGCCCAGAGCAAGCGTATTGGAGAGTCCAAGATTATTGCTGCCAAGGCTGAGGTTTGTCTCATTGAGTGCATTTCAGATGATAAAATTGCTAACCAGTTTGACAGGTCGAGAGTGCCAAGCTGATGCGTCAAGCCGCCGATATTCTTTCATCAGCACCCGCTATGCAGATCCGCTACCTCGAGGCCATGCAAGCCATGGCCAAGTCGGCCAACAGCAAGGTCATCTTTTTGCCCGCCGCCAACCAGACGATGCCGAACCAGCAGTCGCTGTTCAATGCCGCGATGGCCGACTCCAAGCCGATCGAGGGTGGAGAGCCGAGTGGGAACTTCAAGGACTTTGGAGGTCAGGACTCCAGTTTTCAACAAGCCATGAATGCTCGGGTTGTTGAGAACATCTAAATCACTTCTTTATCAAAAGACCAGTCGTGCTGACTATAGGGTCTTGGTCTCGGCTAACAGGCTGGTCGACTTGATACCTTTCTCCACCCACCTTTTTCACGCGACTGGTTGACCCTATATCAAGAAATCACCACATTTGATTTCCAGTAATGTTTACTGCGCTTTTTATACCCATTCAAAATCGAATAAATCCAAGACACGACGATATCGCGTGTACCATTATGGCTACTGAAACGGAGAGAGGAAGATGTGTGGAGGGCAATGGAATGACCAAGATTCAAAATCGGATACCCCTGAACGGCAGATGGGCTGGCCGGCTGGAGCGACAATTAGGGGCTTCGGCCGACAGGATACCCGCTTCGTTCTCTTTTGATTTTCATAAGGGGTTTGCGAAGATGTATACATAATTGCGATATGGAATGGACGGAGTTGTACCCTTGATTTTTGGGGTAGCTTTTAGTCGGCTAATGATACCAAACATTCGTTTATTTCTCACCGTGCCTCCTGTTTGCATTGTTGTAATGTGCTGTGTAGTGATGCCGAGGGAAATGTCTTACAATCAGAAACACGGCTCCTCTTGTTGACGAGGTAACTAAGATGGGGACTCTGGAACTGGGCCGCCACCATCTGATAACTTTAACCCGCTTGCTGCATAGGGGCAATTTCGTCAAAGACGTCCCCACATTTAGGGCTGTTCATGCGTCAAGCCAGAACGCAAGGCTGCCAACTCCACCATCCAACCTCGACCTTCCACTCCAGCTGCTCCTTGATGCCCATGCGCTGCTTGAGGCCCCACCGTATAGACGTCTTGCTTCTTTCTAGTATTATGTCATGAAGAGCATGCAAGAGCAAAACCTTCAAGCCGCTCCGTAGTCTCAGATCCATAGCTACCTACCCAGCTAGTCCACTGCAACGATGCCTCTGTACGTGCTACTCATCCTCTCAGTCCCCCTGCCAACTAACCACCCCTTCGCAGCCATCTCCTCGGCAAGAAGTCATGGAACGTCTACAACGCAGAGAACGTGGCCCGCGTGCGCCGCGACGAGGCGGACGCCCGCGCCCGCGAGGAGGCCGCCGAGCAGCGCATGCAGGAGGCCGATGCGGCGCGGCGTCTGGCTATTCTGAGAGGCGAGGAGCCCCCGCCGCTGCCGGAGCCGGAGCCGGAGCCTGAGCCAGAGGCCTACTCTTCGCGCGATCGGAACCGCGATCCTCTGGAGGGGCTGGGCGGCAGCGGCAGCGGCAGTGGCGGAAAAGAGCGCAGGAAGCGCAAGCGCCCCGGCGAGGACGACACGGACTTTGAGATGCGCGTTGTCCGCGAGCGCGCTGCGGCCGGGGACAAAGCGCGCGAGGAGCTGAGTCGTGGTCAGGGCCCGGCGCAGAGCCCTGGTAAGGCGACAGACGTGGCTATCGTGGACAGTGCCGGGCACATTGATCTCTTCGGCGGCCAGGCGGCCGCGTCTGCCTCTGCCTCTGCGTCTGCGGCAAAGGGCGAGAAGAACCCCGAGTATGAGCGAGAAGCGGCCAAGAAGCGCCGCGAGCAGGAAGACCAGTACACGATGCGCTTTGCGAACGCCGCGGGGCGGGACGGCGGGCTCGCGCGTGGTGCGGCGCCGTGGTATATCAAGCCTGGCGATGGGAAAGCTAAGGAGGAAGAGGCCGAGTTTGATGCGCCCACCAAGGACGTCTGGGGTAACGAGGATCCGGCGCGTAAGGCGCGCTCGGCGGCGCGGCTGGATGCGAATGATCCATTGGCGATGATGAAGAGCGGGGCGCGCAAGGTGCGGGAGGTCGAGAAAGAGCGCAAGAGGGGGGCGGAGGAGAGGGAGAGGGAATTGAAAGATTTGAGACGGGAGGAAAAGAGGCGAGAGAAGCGACGGAGAAGGGAAGGGAGGAGTGATGGTGTTGATATTGGCGAGCTCGACGGGTTCAACCTTGATGCGCCGCCTAGGCCCGCGGTAGAAAAGGAAAGAGAGCGAGATCGCAGCTCAGAGCGAAAACATAGCAGTCGCAGCCACGAGGACAGAGACAGGCGCCATCGCCATGACAGGAACAGGCACAAGGATCACAGAGATGGTAGCCGGAATGACCGAGAACGACGTGATGATGACCGCAGCAGGCATAGACATCGTAGCCATCACGACCGACGAGACAATTGTTGGAGTTTTTGATATTTTAAGATACCCCAAAATGACACTTTTGGCATATTAGAGAACAAGGCACTTTTCCATGATCGTTGACATTGTTTTGTCCTTTTGTAGACTGTGTCTCGTCTAGCTATTCAATATTGAACCCTCCAACCCGGCTCTATATAACAACAATACCCACACGGCCGTATCAACGTCTAGCTACTAACGCGCCCAGATTCTCAGCGAACCAGCTTGCCTTCATATCCTCTTCTAGGCCCTTCGTTGTCTCCGCGACGTCTAAAATCTTCTTAATGCCCACGCCTACCTGGTTAGAACCATTGCTATATTCGTTGACCAGATTCATGGCTTCAGTGAGAGACCTCTCGTCGCCAAACACCTCTTGGCTGCGCAAGATAGCATCCAGATCCCGCAATTGACCGACTGCCGGTACCGCGACTTCTTTGGAGAAGACCGAGGCGAAGTCTAGCTGCTCCAGCACACTGCGGCGCGCCGTTGTGCCAATAATGAGCAAGCGGTGGTTCTGGGAATATGTTAGTATTGTCTTATTAGCATAGTGTAATGGTATACTAACCTTTGGTGGGTCTGTCTGAATCAAGGTCTGGAGCGCTTGGAGAATGGTGTTCGACATTCGAGGTCCCACAGGATTCCACTCGATGATACGCTCAATGTTGTCGATGATGAGAATGCTCAAAGGAGACTTATAAGCATCTGTGAAAGTCTTGTGAATGTGATCCTTCTTCGCGATCTCGTCCCTGAACCCAATCAATGCATCAGGCGTGAGGATCTTGATGAAAGGAAAGCCTGAGCTCTTGGCAACATGAGCTGCCATTGCCGTCTTGCCACTGCCGTCTGGACCATGGAATAGCATTGAGAAACATGTTTGTCTTGACGTCTCAAGCCTCTCAACATGTACCATGCAGTTGTTGAAGATGGTTTGTATGCTTGGGGAATAGTTGATGATGCCGTATTTGATGGCCTTGGTAAGTTCTTCATCGGAGACGCCAAACGCGGGCACGACTTCCGCAAGTGCATTCATAAAGTCATCGCGTGTGATCATGAGCTTGGACACATCGGCCGATACACTGGCCATGGTTCCAGCTGCTGTATGACGGTTGAAAGCAAATGACGCTGCACTCTTTGTAAGACCGCTCAACTCGGCGCCCGAGAAGTTCTTCGTCAAGGCCGCTAGCTCATTCAGGTCGATGTCTGAGGCCAGCTTGCCATTGTCGCGCATCTTTGCGGTATGAATCTTCAAGATCTGCTGTCTGCCAGCCTCGTCTGGAAGGGAGATCTCGACTTGGACCTCAAGACGGCCAGGACGCAAAAGAGCGTCATCAATCATGTCCTTACGATTCGTCATACCAATAAGGAGCATATTGTTGAGCTGATCCACACCATCCAGCTTGCTAAGAAGCTGGTTGACCACACTGTCGCCAACTCCTGTGCCGCCTCCAGCACCTGATCCTCTCTGCTTGCATACAGCATCGAGCTCGTCAAAGATGATAATATGTAGTTCCGATTCGTCTCCCTTCTCTTTGTATTCCTTCTCCGCATCTGCAAATAATTTACGGATGTTCTCTTCACTCTGGCCAACGTACTTGTTCAAGACCTCGGGACCGTTGATGATCTTCGGCTCTCGGGCTTGCAGCATCTTTCCGATCTGACGAGCGATGAGTGTCTTTCCAGTACCGGGGGGGCCGTATAGAAGAACACCCTTGACGTGCATGATGCCCAGCTGATCAATCAAAGCAGGAGGAAAGATACGGGAGGCGAACGCTCTTCGGAAGATCGTTGAGAACTCCGCGTCCAGACCACCGATGCCCATGTCCTCGAACTTGAAATCTGGCCGTAGAATCGGATTGGCGTTTCGCTTGGTTGATCCCTTCAGGTTTAAGCCTCCCTTGGGGTCTTTGTGAAAGGAAATGTCGGTGACATTCGTCAGGATACCCCGCGCGTTGGGGTCTGTGTTTGTAGGTGCTTCAGATTCGCCTTGCTTCTCCATGCTCAGGTCCGCGAGTTGGACCGTGGAGACGATGCAAAGCAGTGGGGTGTTCTTGAAGTCCATGATCAGTCGTTGACCCGGTGCCAGCACTTGGTTCTGATAGGTCTTCAGGAAGAGGTCTGAAAGGGTCTCCTGGTCGTAGACAGATGAGTTCGTCTTGCGAGTCGATGCGAAACCAATTTCCACGTCGACGGAGCCAAGGTACGCCCTACCACCTCGCTCGAAAGGATCGTACAGCTCGGCCCTGACGGTATCGGTCCTGGAACAAAATGGTTAGTCTTGATCCCTTAAGGTAGGAAGGATTGAAAGGCAACATACATAGCTATACCCGCCCAGGATCTCTGCGGGTCGCTGAGTGCAATGCACCCTGAGGGGAAGCCTGGTGTCGGCCGGGCGGTGACGACATATTCCCCCCGGAGCTGGGGCCCTGACAACTTGAGATGTATGTCTGTGCCATCTCTGTTACCGGGGAAGTCGCTTGGAGAGACGGCGCAGATGTTGCCGAAGATGTAGAGAGATTGTAAGTTCTTGTCCTCGAGCTTATACAGCCGGAGCTCCATGGCGGGGCCACGGCTGGCGGGCGGATAGGATCGCTGTGGCTGTTGCGGGGCGGGAGAGGAGTATGACTGGTTGTATGACGGCTGCTGCTGCGGTTGGCCGTAGGAGGGCATTCGCGGTGACGGCTGAGGGTTCATGGCTTGGGGTGTGCCGGACTGCGAGCGAGATGCACCTGGGTTGGACGGTATGCCAACCCGACCACCGCGGGGGCCCTGGCCAAACAGGGAATTTCGAGCATCCATGATGTGCACAATCGCGGGGTGATGTAGCACGAGATCGCTACGTATCGGCCGTGGAGGAGGTTACGCTGGGAGGATGGAAGTGTGTGAGGAAGCTCCCTTCTTTTGTACTCGAAGCATGTGAAGCTGTTGGTGTTTCAACTGCCTCCCACCAACTTGACCAACAGACTACGTAACCAGGAGAGCTGTCCCTGTCAGCCTCTGTCAGCCCCAGGGCCGCCACCCAGCTAAGGGTCCCTCTTATCCAGAATCGGTCTAGCGTCTACCCTAAGGTTCAGGGGCGAAGCACTGGACAACAACACTTTTTTCTTGATAGTGACTCTTCCCATAACGTGTTCATCTTCAAGTATATAGACTAAGTGTTCTTTTGATCCCCCCGACAATGGAACGGCCTGGTATGGATGATCTGATTAGTCTTTTCCCCGTAGCTGTTAATCGCCAAACTTTGAGAAGGAACATAGCAGTACGTCTTGACGATGAGTAGACACCACATGATCGGGTACCTAGCTCGAGAAGCAGAATTGCCAGGTTGATACTAAACCTGAAGTCCATATCTCCATTTACTTAGAGCATACACATGAACTGAACCTCTATTTAATCTGCTTCATCAGGCTAGTTTTTGCATTCCTTAAATCCCTTTGTCACATCATTGTTACTCCGCCGACCATGCAACGGCAACAGATCGATACATTTCATCTGTTATAGCAACTGCTTTCAATTGGAAATCCGGGTATGATTGGTGAAAATGGCTCTTGCTAGATAAAATGTTAGCCTGTCTCCGTTTCGTGGTTTGTTGCGCGACCGAGCCTGATTATCGAGTCATCGATGACATACCGAAGCGACGGTTGAGCTCCAGATACCAACTCGAATACCCTGTTCTCTCTTGAGGTACCACATCACCGTCACAAGAGTCAAGAATGGTATCGCAGGCGCTTCCATCATGCCCATAAAGTATCTTAGTGCTAGCAAACCTACGGCGTTGTGTGTGGCGGCCATGAGAAGAGTCATAATCGACCAGCCAAAGCCAGTTACAGCCAGAAACTTCCCGATAGGAAATCGAGAGACAAGATGCACTGCAGAGAATTGAGCCACAAGATATCCAAAGTAGAAGATTGATCCGACTTAAGAGCACCAGGTTAGTTTCTATGCCTTGACGAAGATAATGAAAGCAACATGTGCAGGATGTTTGTTTTCAACTTACCCCAGCTGTACACTTGGCCGACAAGATGATTGTCACTTTCATTCCGTATAGAGCTGCGTTGGAGATGGTGATTTTCTAAATCTCGCGTTAACAACCGTTTCGAGTCTTTTGGTTGACAATGGAGCACTTACATCCAAGGCCGAAAGAACTGCATAACCCCAGAGAAAAGGAATAATGCGCTAGTCAAGCTTCCTGACTAGCTCCTTCACGTCATCACTGTCATATCGAAGGGAGTTGTCTCTTCAAGCAGCACGTCTTCTTTGAGTTTGGCGGGTTGCACATCTCCTTCAAGACTTGGGGCCGCCACTTTTGCCTCTTGATTAGCCATGCCGGAAAGGAAGATGTCTAGTTTGAGAATGCCGTGTGTTTGGGTGATAAGTGTTCGGTGTCGTTCGTCAGGCGCTATCAGCGAAAGTCTTCGAAACTCCGCGACGCAAAGGAGTAATGAAATATCTCCTTGGATGCGAGCGCCATTGAGCAAAACAAATAACGAAGCCACTGACATGTCGGTACTGCTGATATGATGCCAATGTTAGTGGCACAGATTACCCGTCAATCGCATTGTCCGCTTGTTCAACAGCATGATTCTGTCGGGAGAAGAAGGAAGTCGGACAAGCAATTAAAAGTCCGACGATGTTTGAATGTCCCCACAGCTGCGATAAGTGAGTGGATGGCCCACTCGAGTCATGCTGGCGAGGTGGCATGTCTTTGTCTTCACGCAGACAATGTCACCTACGATGAAGTTCTGCCGCAGAACTGGGTACCCGATTGGACAGGTGTGAAATAGGGCTCAGGCGCCCAATCTGCCCCTCTTTCATCGTTCAATGTTGATGTTTCAAGACAGACAACTTTTTTCGGAGTCATCGTGGACTTTTCCTAATTTTACCGGCTTGACTCTTTAGACAAAACAAAATCTAGGGACCAGGACGGATACACTCATCGCATCACAAGATGTCGACAGTTGCCGCCTCTAAGATGATGGGGCTCCCAGCTGTGGTGCGTTCCGTTCTGTACACGCTCGTCGCGTGCATTGGAGGCTACGTGCTATTCCTCAGCCTTCTCACCATTCCCTTTTTCCAAAATCAAGCCATTTACTTGAACGCAATTACCATGACATGGTTTAAAGATGTCAATGTACCAGAGCAGTGGGGTTTCTTACGAAATCAAGTCACGCCCTTCACGCTATCGACTCCTGATGGCGAGATATTGCATGCATGGCACATCATCCCAATCAATCTATACACGAAACATGAGAGTGATCTGATGGCAGAGTCTGATGGGCTAGTCTCGGATATCACAGCAAGATTAGGCTTCCAACTTCTGCGCGATGACCCTGAAGCACGCTTAGTGCTATACCTTCATGGAGCAGCGGGAACTCTGGGCTCGGGCTGGCGGCCACCGAGCTATAGAGCGATGTACGCCACCGCCCCTGATAAGATCCATACTGTGGCGATTGATTACAGAGGGTTTGGGTCCAGCACTGGCAACCCTTCTGAAGAAGGGCTTTTGACAGATGCTCTAACCCTAGCGGAGTGGGCAATGAACACAGCGGGCATTCCCCCAGAACGCATCGCTATCTTCAGTCAATCTCTTGGGACAGCTGTTGCTATATCGCTTGTACATCATCTAGCAATGAAAACGGAGCCAGTTTTTTTTTCTGGCATGGTTATGGTGGCTCCCTTCGTCGACGTAGAGCTCCTCACCGCTACATACCGCATAGCAGGTGTCATTCCGATCCTTGATCCCGTGGCTTATTTCCCAGCGATGCTCTCATTTCTCAACACATTTATACGCAGCAAGTGGCCGAGTAAAGTGAAGCTTGTCCAATTCATACAACGCTGCGAAGGACTTGAAAGGCAAGATAACGAAGGGCTGAAGTATCACATATCCATCATCCACGCTAAGGACGACTATGACATTCCATGGACACACAGCGAGACGCTATTCTGGCATGCAATCAACGCATCCATGCCGAAAGGCATATCATATGACCAACTCGAAGTCGAGAAACGTAGCAAAAGGAGTGACCTCGGTGCGGGAGGTTGGGCAGTGGATCGATGGACAAGTATGGGTCACGTTCGAGAAGAAATCACAAACTTTGGACTTCATGATCGGATAATGTCATATCCTGTTGTCAGCTCAGCGATTGAGAGTGCTTTTCGATTACGCTGAGGAACCTTGGCAGGATACAGTCACGCATCGCACTTGGAATATAATTCGACCAGTACTCAGCAAATATAGCCCACAAACTTCCACAAAGCGAACGTCAGCATCGATCTAATCCTCATACTTACCCATTTCACAGGTCATAAGCTCGAAGTGAAGCAAGCATACAAGTGGAATATGCAGTGGTGGAACCTATTCGACAGCAGATTCTGCAGGATTGCCGTACGAGCACTTATCGTGCCATGAGCGAACCATAGAAGTTAGCACTCAGTGTAACATAAAAGAATTATTAGATACCTAAAGAGTCTTGGGTGGTATATTAATATCTAATAGACAGATTTGAGGTACTGGTACCCCTCCACCAGGGTGTTAGATGTTAGTTCAGAGTAAAATACTGCCCGAACCTAGCCTGCGCCCATTTCCTTTTTCGTGAGTGGGCCGGTGCTGCCGCTGCTTTTAACTGTGCAATGGATGTGCAGTGGGTGTGCAACAGGTACGCGATAGGTACCACCCTCAGTGTGCGGCTATGGCGCTATTTGGGAGTCTCAATCTGCCAACCGCAGTTAAAATTGCCGAAAGCGGAAAATGGAATCAGACAGGCCCATACAAACCTACCCGGCTCACCAGGCTCAAGCTGGCTAGGTCCGTGACATCCTCTGAGAACTTTTTAATTTCAGAACGTTCTAATGAGGCAACATATCAGACGATATTTTATCTACAGTTAGAAAGCTCAAATGAGGGCACTCTTTATTTTAGGCCTCTCATCTGAGAATCTCTCTCGAACGAGAAACTTCAAACGATGCCGTTAATCTTGGGTTTCTCATACGAGGGTCTCTTCAAGATGAGAAATTTCAGAAGACTAGTATGATAATATGAAATCTGCTGTTGTTTTAGCTTTCTAATTCGAGAGAAATTCTCAGACGAGAAACCTAGGATTAGGGTTGTCTTTATTTGAATTTGACTGGATGAGAATTTTTGGAGGAGCATCCAGAAAAATTAGAGTGGAGCTGAAGTGGCTGAGCTGGGGTGGCTTAACTTGGTCGAGGGTGGTTGAATCGGGTCCTCGGCTGGAAATGCACGTACGAGCAGTTCCCGCCTATACGTGTATAGCTTAATCACCTTCGAGCTCTTGGTAGTAGCAGCTTCCCCTAGATAGACGAGGTGGGATCATCTGCAGGAAAGTTCCTTTCAGGAAGATATCGAGGACGGATCTTAACTCAAGAGAATGACACCTTGTCTCCGAAATCATGCCGATGCTGTCACATGGCTGACAAATATCTGAGAGTGCTTCCCAATTTCTTCTTAGTGGATTTGTCAGATATTGCTTGGAAATATTGGAACTGAATCCTTCAATACGGTCATCCGCGTTTAATATTACGAAATCCATAGTTGACTTGATGGACAGACCTCTAAAGCAGCTTGCAAGGCCGGTATTATGTCGTGGCCTTGATCTATGGCAAGGGATAAGAGATTCGAAAGTCTAGCTGTTAATGTAAGATATCTGTCGGGAGCACCTTTAAGATCTAGCTTTCGGATCTATAAGATCATGAGAGTCTCGGACGCCCCATCAGGCAGAGTGCCGCATTTTGCCGAAGATAAGTAGGTAATATGATATCGCACAACATTATGATCTACT